CGAAATTGATTTGGTCTCTTTCAAAAGGAATGAAGGAAGGAGTCGACGCATTGTTTCGCGATTTAATGCTTCCAATTTTGCCAGGTCCATCGCCAGTGTGTCGGGAAGCTGATACATTCTTTTTGTATCAAAATATTTGTCAGTAAGAATTCATATTGTCGTCTGTGAGAATTTATATAGTCGACCTCATCTTGTTCGGGATGAGGCATTATTGTTGTTGTTGTATTTGTTTAAACTCTTGGTCGGGGACGGAGCATTTCAGCTTTTGCGTGCAAGATGTGCTGCAATTTTATGGATTTGTTAATTTAAAAATAGAGCTTTTCTTCCTTATTTTAGTCTTGTTCCCAAGTAGGGATGGCAATGCGGTGGAGCGGGTGCGGGGCGGGTTTGGAAAACCCACAAAATTTTCAACCTGTCCCGACCCGACCCACATAGTTATTTTTTCAGTTTTCAACCCGCCCCGCTTAATTTTTTTTCTCCCTTTTTTCTCTAATCTCCCCCCCCCCCCCCCCNTTTTCATAGTTATTCCCGCTTAATTTGTTTTTTCCTCTAATTTTTTCCCCAATAGAAATACATAATGATATTAGATTTAGACGTTCTATAACAGAAACAAATAGACAATATACTAAAATTGCATAATAGACAAGCTGTTTTTCTATTATTACTGATTTACTTCACCTTAAATTCTCAAAAATTATTTTAACAAGATCCAATAGTACTCTATCCCGCCATAAACAACAGAAAACTTTTTAACAAAAACATAGGATCAAAACATTTAAACATGAAGCAATGTCACCTAATTTAAGCTCCATTAGCTCCCACTGATGCCTTCTTCTTCAACTCCTCATTGGCAGTATCTTCAGTTCCTTTCCCATTCGATTCATTAGTCGAAAAATTAAATTTTCTTGAAGATATTTCAGATGTTAAATCATTCGAAGCATTTCTTAATAATTCATTTTCAGCTTGAATTGTCTCCGGTTGCTGCTTCACATCCAAACACACCTTTGCCAAATCAGCATTCTCTAGCTCACTCTTCCTTTTCTTAGAATCGTCTTTCGCCATGTGATCTATGCCAATCTCATTAAAATAGGAATTTATAATTACTATTTCAATTATAAATCAATATAATATTCGTGCTAGTAAAGAAGAATGTGAAATTGTAGTTGAAATGATTGCTTTATTTCAAAAAATATAGAATTCAAAGTTGCCCCGCATTAAACCCGCAACCCGCCCCGCTTTTAAAAATTTTAAAAATTGTTTAACCTGCCCCGCCCCGCACCTGCATAAGAGTAAACCCGTCCCGCATCAAACAAAACCCGCCCCACCCCGCACCCGTCCTGCCCTATTGCCATCCCTATTCCCAAACAGGATGAATTGAAAAAAGGAGGAAAAAACGAACAGTAGGATCTACTTTGTTGTAACTTTTTAGTACACAAAGTATTTGCTTGTGCTAAAGTATTTATATGCCTGCTCTCTTTAAAGAAGACAAAACTAAAAATTAAGATCGTTCATCTGTTCAAACTGGAGCAATTCTAAGAAAGAACCTATTTTTTAGTGTTCGGTCATTCCTAACAAAATATAAAGGACATGTTCGTTGCCAATTTGAAGTTCTTATGAAAGATAGGACTGCAAATACACTGTGATTCTGCTCTGAAAGAAGAATAAAGAATAGAGTAAGAAAGAGGTACCCTCGGAATGATATGTGAGCCTTCCTCAAGCAATCCCATGTGACAATTTTTATTGTGCGAGATTTATAGAGACAACCAGATAGGTAATCACGAACCTTATACTCTTTTTTTTTAGCAAATTATACTACTAGGCAGGCTGCCTAGTAGCTATTTTATTAATAATAAAAAGAAAAGAAACCATAAAGGAAGAGTACAAGGGGCAAAAGCTACAATAGTGTTATTGTGATGACTCAAAGGGTCATCTTATGTTTTAGAACTCAATTCCGTGTCCCAAGACCTTAAAAACCTCATTGTATTTCTCTTCGATTTGCGTGCGCAGTTCGAACGTGATTCTGGAAAGCCTTTATGTGGAAAATTTATGAAAATAACAATTTTTGGCCTAAAAAGTTGATTTTAGTTGACTTCGGTCGAAGTTTCGGGCAAACGGATCCGGACTCTGACCCGTGTTTTGATGGTCCCGATAGGCCCGTAGTAAAATATGGGACCTGGGCGTATGCCCGGAATCGAATTCCAAGGTCCCAAGGTCGAGAAATGAATTTTTGATGAAAATTGTAAGACTGAAAAGTTAATAATTTAAAGAATTTGATCTTGTTGGTATCGGGCCCGTATTTTGGTTCGGAGCCCAGTACAGGTCCGTTATGATGTTTATACCTTATCTGTGAGATTTGGTAAGAAACGGGACTTATTTGACGTGATCGCACGAGCAAGTCCGTATGATGTTTTTAGACTGTATGCATGTTTGGTTTAGAGCTCCAAGGGCTCGGGTGAGTTTCAGATATGTTACGGGGTATTTTAAACTTAGACAAATCTAGTATTTTGCTGCAGCAGTTGTTCTGATATGCCCTTCTTCACGTTCGAGTAGGCTGTATCGCTAACGCGAAAGGTAAAAATGGGGCAAGGGGAATTCTTCTTCGCGAACGTGTAGGCCAATAGAGCCATAGCTTCGCAAACGCGACAGGCCTCTCGCGAACGTGAATAAGGTCTGTCCAATGATTTTAAAACAGAACCAAAGGTAGGATTTCTTAAAAAATTCATATATTCTTCACTAAACTCAACCTAAGGTGATTTTAGAAGTGGGCCCAAAACATGAACTTTCATTAACACTTGCATACTAAACTGAATGAATATATGATTACTGAATTGTTGAGATACTGAATTGATGACTACTGCATTGACTGAATATTGGTCTCCCATGGATACGTGAATACTGAACTAACATGGATATATGAATATTGAACTGGCATGAATATTTGAGTACTGAACTGACATCAATATTTGATTACTAAGTTGGCATGAATATCTGAGTATTGGACTGACAGGAGTAGCTGAGTATTGAACTGACATGAGTATCTGAGTACTGAAAACTTGAAATACTAGTTGTACCACCGCTAATTATGGTGGCAACTCCAACTCATAAGCTATTTGTCCAATCTTTTGTAGGATCATATACAATGTGATATATTTGGGACTGAGCTTTTCTTTCTTCCCAAATCTTATAACACATTTCATAGATGAAACTTTCGGAAACACCCTATCATCAGCTTGGAACTCTAACATCTTCAAACGCTCTAGAATCAACTTGACTTTCTCCATAGTTTGATAGGCCAAATTTGGTGTCAACAAATCTTCTTTGCCAACTTTGAACCAACCAATTGGCGATGTACACCTTCTCCTACACTGAGCTTCTTCTGTTGCCATCTTGATACTAGAATGGCAGATGTTATTATTAGCAAACTCAATGAAAAGTACATAATCATCCCAATTGGATCATGCTTTCAAAATGAGCGAGATAATCCTGTTATAAAGTCTATATATTTACCATTTTCACACATATTCATGGTATATCACTAGGTTTTCTGTTGTTCGACTTTCACTTGCTGATAATGCGGAAATTGGCCAAAACGTTTGCGACGTTCTTTTTCATGTCATTCTACCAATAAATCTCTTAAGACTATGATACATCTTTGTGGAACCTGAGTAAATAGAATACCTGAAATTTTGGGCTTCAGACATAATCCGTTTTTGAGCCTTTCTATGTCTGGAATGCTAGTCTGCCTTGGTATCTCAAAGTACTTACATCTCCCCCTCGTTCGAAAGACATCGCCTTATGCTTGTGTATCCCCTCCTTCAGATGAGACAAGTAGGGATCATCAAACTATTTCTCCTTCACTTCGGCTACTAAGGAGGAACAAGTCCCGTTCTAGACAATAATTCCACCATCTTTGGAGTCCGAAAGTCGAACTCCTAGCTTGGCTAAGCGGTAAACTTCTTTCACCACAGTTATCTTGTCTACCCCAATCATGAGCTATACTTCCCTTACTTGATTATATTTTTAAAATACTTCCTGAAAACACTTATAGAGAATTATTGTGAGCTAAGTCTTTGACCAGTACTCCGAAGATTAGAGCCTCATGCAATGATACTATCCTCGTGATACACAACTGAGCATGATTTTATAGTTTTTATATCCCATGCTAACTATGCGAGTTTCAAATCTCCAACTAGACTTACTGACGATTTTAACATCTTCCCCTTAGACCAAAAGTTAAGGTCTTGTACTTGAGGATCCTTCTCTTATGTTGTTATCCAAACAACTTTCCTTATCTTCTGCAATTCTTTGCACTCTACGTCAATGACGACTTATCTTTCGACTTACTTCTGATCAATATTTCTTACTAGGAAAAACTAAATTACTTATATAAACGGAAAGCTAATGTATTCACAACTATCATATATAATCTTAATGATTTAACTCTGCTCACACTGTCAATCTTGGGGAAACCTCTTTTCGACAGCTCTTAAAGGGTATTTTTCTATAGCTTGCTCTCTTACTATTGAGCTGATTTTTTTTGTCTTCCACTATCACTGAACTTCGGGTTTAATTTAAACTCTTTGGGTTCTAACATGCGTTCAGTATTTCAAATTTTTACCCTATTTCAAATTTTTACTCACTCACTAATGTTAACCTAGCTAAGTAAATCAAATCGTACCTCTACTAGCTCAGATGAAATTGCTAATTCACTGTATCTACTCAAAACTTACTTACTATTCCTTTACTAACCACCTGCTAGCATCATGTTTTCTTCTTCTGCTTTGAATAACTAAAGTGAAGCATAAGGTTATTCCTAACTTCCCTCACCATCCGACCATATTCTACGATCACATACTATTTTTTTTTTTAAAAACTATGTACATGGATCATACTTGGGGAATTCATCTATCTTAAATGAAATTAGATATCTAACCCTCAAACTTTCTATACACTTCAAAATCATATCAGACCATAAACATTCGGGGTAAACACTTTGGGTGTATTTGGTATAAGGGAAAATATTTTCTTGAAAAATAAGTAGTAATCTTATTCATTTTTTCGGTGTTTGGTATGCAAATTAAGGAAAATGACTTCTCAAGAGTATTCATAAATAATTTAGATATAATAAACATGAAGCCATAAATTTTCAAACTAACAACCTTCCGAACCCACAAATTTCATAAACTTTCGAACCGCGGAATTTCAAACCCATAAACTTTATAATTTCTAAACTCGAGTAAACTTCCAAACACATAAACCTCCGAACTCATACTTTTGGAACTTGTAAAATTTTGAACCTTTAAACCGATAAATAAAAAAAATTAAAACTG